TCACAACTTCCAAGAACCTATGAATGACGTTAAGTGAGGACTCACTTGCTACTCTGCAGGCTCCGTGAGGAGGAGGCTGGGGACTGACACTGATGCCCACAACCTCTGCCCCTTGGCAGCAGAAGAGCTGAGGATCAGGTGCAGTTCTGAGGCTTAAAAGGGTTCGTTCACCCCCATAGCCGTGCTGTGAGGCTGGCACTGATGTGCTCCCCATTTTACAGGTGGGGAAACTGAGGCACGGAGAGCTGTCACTTGCCATGGTCACATGGAGAGTATGGCAGGAGTGGGACTTGAGTCCGCTATCCTGGCTCCTGGCCTGGGCATGTACCCGTCACAATAACTGGCTTCTGAGGGGGGCCACCCTCTCAGGACCAGCAGGGTGGCCTACGAGTTCTGGGTGGGATTTCCAGCTGGGCCTGGGTGTGATGGGACTAGCTTTACCTGCCCAGCCTCCTGTTCCCTCACCCAGCCCAGGGAGGGAAGGATTTCATCCTCATTTACAAAGGGTGAAACTGAGGCACTAGGCCATGAAGTCATTTGCCCATAGTCACTGAGGGGCTAGATCCGAACACAGATCTGAGTCCAGGCCTGACTTTTCCCTGTATGAGGCTGCCTCCCTGAGGGAAGATGGCTGTCCTCCCACAGTCTGGAGACGATGAGATGACCAGCCTGACCCCATCCCAGCGAGGCTCCCTGCATCCCAGAGGCCAGGCCTGGGAGTGCCGCCGGGTCCCGCTGAACAGACCCTGTGAGCTCTCCAGTCAGTAGCCTGGAGCCCCGGGGACCTGTGGGGGGCTCAGGCCTGAGACTGGTGAGCGTGAGGCCGGGCGCACCTGGCCTGGGGGTCTGACCTAAAAGCCGCCCCCACAGCCCAAAAGAACCCCCAAACTAGAGATGAAGAAATGACTTTGCTCTGCTCCTGGGTCAAAGAGGCGATGAGAACAGAAAAGGGTGGAGGGCAATGTGGCCAGTGTCACATGCACTATGCACCTGCTGCATGCCAGCCTCATCCACCATCTCACAGACTCCCCCACAGAGGAGGAAGTGAAGGGGAGGTCATCGTCCTGGAGCCACACTGCGGAGGTGTGGCGGAGGCGGGATTGGCCAGCTCTGCAACTTCGTCCTCCCCCACAGGACTCTGGCCCTGTCCACTGGGTCTCAACACTGGTGACAGCCAGGAGTCCACAGGAGGACCCCAGGGTGGTGGTGATGACCGCTCTGCCGCTAAGCCACCTGCAGCCTTGGGCAAGGGCCTGTGGGTCTCTCCAAGCCTCAGTTTCCCAGTCTGTACGACGGAGCTCCAGGTCCCTGCCCCAGGAGGCTACTGTGAGGATGACCAAAGGACCAGGCACAAGAGAGCAGTGTGGCACTTACTGTGCAGTGGGGGAGGGTCCCCACAGTCTCTTGTTGATGTCAGGTCTGGCACACGCCCACCATGCCACTCCCAGTAAGGCGCTGTCAGGGGAAGGGCCAGGAGGCCCAGGCTCTGGTTCCAGTTTGCTTGCCAGAGGTGGCCGTCTCCCTAAAGCCCTCCCTGGGCCTCAGTCTCCCCATCAGCAAACTGGCAGTGCTGCGGGCCAGCACCGAGCCGGGACCGGCAGGCCCTGTCGAAGGACACCTCACTTCTCGAGCACCCGCATGCCGTCCAGTCGCAGCGGGGGCTGGGCCCGGGCGCCCCTCACAACGGGTGCCCCTCACAACGGGTGCAGACCGGGTGGGCCGCAGGGCCCAGCCCCCGCTGCGCACGCCCAGAGGTAAGGCTCTTCTCCGTTTTGTCAGGACAAGAGTTCACTGCGTGCTTGGAAAGCCCAAGCTGAAGGCTGGATGCCCTTAGGAAGCCTGGCGTGCTTGCCGGCAGAAAAGCGTTCCAGGGGCGGGCGCCGTCCTGAGTGCACAGCCCTTTGCTCTCCCTCGACTCTTCCCTCCCCGGCCCTGCCGCCAGTGCCGAGGAGCCTTGGGTGTCGCCTTTCTCCTCTGGGTCCCGGTCACATCTGGACAGCAGGGTGCTGGCAAGGGTGTGAGCGGGGGAAGGGCATGCAAGGCCAGGGGTGGGACACCATGGCCATGCTTACTGGACACTGCCTAGGGTCTGGCTATGGGTAAAGGGGATAGTTTTGGAGCCAGATGAACTTGGGGCCATTGCCTGACAGTGTGACCTTGGGCAAGCCACTTCACCTGGCTGAGTCTCTGCTTTCTCATCCATAAAATGGTGAAGATGGCAATGATGATGATCAGTAACTTGAGCACTTACCCTGTGCTTTAAGCACTTTGCTAATATTAACTCATTTAATTCTCACCACACCTCTGAGGTAGGTGCTAACATCTCCATTTTGCAGGTGAGTAAACTAAGGCACAGCTAGCGTGGAGGGTGGTGGGACTAACACCAGGCTGGAGAGGGACTGAGCCTGTGCATTCACCATGGCACCCTGTAGCCGCCCTAACAAGCATGTGCCAGTATCACTCCTGGCAGCACAAAGCCTCCACACGCTGGCGGGGAGCAAGGTGTCCCCAGCAAGTGTTGGCTGAGCTGAATGAAACCAACTCAGGGTAGGCTGCCTTGGGGAGTTCCTGGCCCTAAACCCTAAATATTGGGCTGAGGAGCCAGGGAGGTGCGCTATAAGTCTCCCTCCAGGTCTGCCCCAAGTCCTGCTGGGCTGGGAGGGGCATTGTGCCAGCACCACCTATGTTTATGCCCAAGGCAGCAGGGTGGGTCCGTTCATGCCCTATTAGCCTAGCCTGGGGGGTCTCATGATTACAAGTGGGTGCTGCTGCTTCCAACTGGAGAGCCCCTTAATCGGCCCCTCGTGGAGAACAGAGCCATGAGACTCCAAAGACAACATCTCTTTTCCCCTGGCCTGGGCAGCTCAGCAGCCAGCATGGTACAAGGCCACACCTCCCAAGCTCTCCCCAGATGAGGTGCGTGGTGGCCAGTCCTCCCAGCCTGTCCCCACACAGCCCCTGGGCTGCCTGCACCAAGCCCTCAGCCACTTTGAGAGGCTGGCCTGGTCCCCTGGGATTTGTGTAGCTTGGAGTATAACTTCTACACTGCAAAATACACAGATCCTACCAACAGCTCTAAACACCCCACCTCAACCAGCCTCGATTCCTCAACCATCATCTGCTGCCGGCAGCTGCCAGGCGCAGAGTGCCATGCGTCCCCCGAGTGCATCCCGGGCCTTGCAGTTTTTATTTCTGGCAACCCCTCGGACAAGCATCTTTCATGAGGATGCAGCCCATGGATTCTGTAGCTGAGGCCTTGGTTCAAATCCTCACTCCTCCACCTAGGAGCTGGGCGCTCTCACCAAGTAACCCCTTCTATGCCTCACTTTCTGCACTTGTAAAAGGGGGATAAAAATAGCTCTCACCTCAGAGTGCTATGAGGTTCAGTAGCTAATTCCCGTAGAGACCGAGACAGGCCCGGCCCAAATACAACTCCATCAGTCCTGCCTTTCTCAATCTCCTCCCGCCCAGTGCAGGGCCAGCCTGGACCCCTGCCTACCACCTCCATGTCCTCATGCCTGGACTTGCCTGGTCCTTGAGGGATCACCCTGCTCTCCACCTCAGCTGTGTCCCTGGCACTAGGCATGCCCTGATCACTCTACCAGGACGAGGACAAGGTTCTGCCTTCCCCACCTGCCTGCACACCCCAGTCATCCGGCCAAGCCCCATCTTGGGGCAGCCCAACCCACGCCTGCTCCAGCCGTGCCCCAAGATGGGAAGACACCCTTCCAGGGTTCCCTCAGCTGCCTCCCACACTGTGCAGAGCCGCCACCACCACCCACCTCACCAGACCCCATCCCCAGTGACCTTAGCCCCCAGGGACCCTAGACCTTTCTCTGTTTAAAGAGCAACCCCAGTCCCAAGCCCAACGCATGTCTGTGGCAGCTGAGAACAAATACTTTGTGATCTGGCAGAGCTGGATTCAAACCTGGCTTTACCACCACTGAGATCTACTGACACGTGTGACCTGGCACAAATTTCTCACCCCTGCTCAGCCTCGGTTTCCTCATCTATAAAATGGGAATAATTAGCACAGGACTTGGATGGAATAGCACACTAGCATTTATTGAGCAGCCACCCTGCGTCAGGCCTCCTGCTTCGTGATCTTATCTTCATCTCCTTCATCCTCAGAAGTGGGGCTCTTCACCCCAAGAACACGCAGCACCCGGCCAACCCACAGCCTTTATGATTCTCCAGGCACAGTGGCTCCACAGGGACAGACTGGCCCATCGCCAAGGCCCAGATGTCACAGGCTTATGTCGGGGATGAATGGGTGTTAGGGACCTTAAGCCAGATGCAGACAGACTAAAGGCAAGGGTAGGGCTCAAAGTGCATTGTTAGTGCTTGGGGTCTGGTCGAGGAGGTCAGCATTTTTGACAATTTGTGATCTTGGGACCCTCCTGGCTCCAGCAGAGGGAACGCAAGGCATAATAGGAGCACCCAGATGGTGATGGATGTAAGTCTCGCAGGGAGATGACCCACTCTCCCTGCCTGCCCCCCTCCCCACCCCTGCCTCTGGTCGAGGCGACCCCCTGCCTCCTGGAGGATCCTGAACATCGCTTTCAGAGCAGGGCAGAGAAGTCAGGCCCTCCTTGGGCCCTGGGCACATCGGTGAGGCCAATGGTGGCCACAGTCCCGCCCAGGGCCCTGCCCCTGCCCCTGCCCTCACAACCTCCCTGCCAGGATGGAGAGCCTCTGTACTCACTCCAGGAAACCCACCTGGCCTCGCCTTCCAGGGATTCCCACCTGCCTGTGCCCCCACCCCCTAGGTCAGCAGTCCCTGGGGCGCTCCAGCACCGAGGCCCACCCCTAGCTAAGAATTCTGCCCCCACAACATGATCCTTGCACCAAACAGGTGAGACCATGGTCAAAGCAGGGATCTGGAGGTCCTCAGGCTCCCCTCCCCTTGTCCCCCTAGGAAAGCACATGCAGACCTTGCTTTATTGAGGGAGAAGCCAGAGGGGAGAACCCACCTGCACCCACCAAGCTGCCCCACATCCAGGCCCAGGGCTCCACCTGCGGCTGGGAACCGGCCCACCTGGAGGCCTGGCCGCAGCGCCTCCCCGCAGGCCGGTCCACACCAGCACCCACGCCCTGGGGCAAGGAGGAGGGTGAAGCAAGTCAAAATCCAGAACACCCAAGCCCTGGGCACCCCTGCTATGGCCCTAATCTGTCTTCCCCCACTCAGTGAACTGCCCGCTCCCTGGGCCTGCTCAGACCTGTGCCCCATTGTGGGTGGTCCCTGGAACACAGGCTCTGCCTACAGCCCCGCCCAGAGAGGCCTAAGGCCCTCAGGCACCCAGTGGGGAAGGGTGGAGAGTGGCCCACTCGACCCCGACCCCGTCGGGACGGCCCTGCCCTCTGTGCTCGCTGGTGGCTGCCTCCACCACCCCACGAGGTCAGAAAAGAAAAGCACTAAGGGGCGGGCGGGACCGAGAGGCAGGCAGGGAGGCTCTCAGAGGGCAGCGCGGGTCAGGGCGCTGCTAGGGGAAGCAGCGGTGTGTCTGAGTTCTGTGCAGAGACGCTGGGTGACTCAGGCCCGATGAGCCCCAGGCCGTACAGATTGAGGATGGAGTCAGCGATGATGCGGGCTGTGCGCTTCTGGTACCCGCCCGAGGTCACCATGAGGATGGGCACCTGGCAGCCGCGGACTGCCCGGAACACCAGCTCATCCCGCTTCACAATGCCCTGTGGGGGGGGGGACTCAGCAGGCCTGGACCCTGCGGGGCCCAGAAGTCCTGCGCGGCCTAGCTCCGTTCCGCACTGTTCTCCAGCCCCTCCTCCCTGACATTAGGCTGCCCGCCTTTCCTACTGCTGCTGGGTCCAGGGCACAGCTTCCCTCCCCCCACGCCAGGACATACCCCAGGGCTGACGGACAGACCCCCAAGGCGGTCCCCCTCGAGGATGTCGGTGCCTGCGTTGTACACCACCACGTCCGGCAGATGCTCCTGGAGGGCTTTCTTGATGTTTGCCTCGACTTTATCCAGGTACTCGTCGTCCTCCACGCCCCAGTCCAGCTCCACCTTCCGCCTGATGGCCTCTGAGAGGGAGACACGGACAACCCAATTTGCAGGGAAGGAAAACAGAGGCTCAGGATAAGGAAGACTGTGGTCACCAGGTAAGACTGGAAGCTGGCCTGTCCGACTCCAGCACTGCTCAGCCTCATTCCACCCAAAACTAAGCTGAAAAGATCACCAAGGCTGCAGAAAGGGGGCTTGGGGGAGTGCAGCGGTGTGGAGCTGGCAGGCTCTGCCCTGGGAACAGAGGCCTGCCTGCAGTGCGGCCCCACTGCCCTCCAGCACTCGCCCAGACACCGGCACACGCCGCCCCCCTCACGCCCCAAAGCAGCACAGCCGAGGCTCCGTGGGAAACTGGTCCCTTGCCCACACCAGACTCGCCAGCACCTGGTGCAAAATTGTCCCCTGTCTGCAAAGGTGGAGCCCCTATTTGCAAGTCTCATCTGAGAGCCTCTTCCTTTTGATTGATGAGTTTAACCCACTTTCATTTACTTTGACTACTGTATTTGAACTTATTTCTCATTTTGTATTTTCAATTTGTCCTATTTTTTTCATTTTGTCCCTTCCTATTTTCCACCAAACAGATGTGTTCCACATGCATGTTTACTGGACAGTGTTATGTGATCTTGGGTGGGTCAGGTGACTTCTCCAGGTCTCAGTTTCCTCATCTGTAAAATGGAAACAATTTCCACCCCCAGGGATGCTGTGAGTAATGGAGAGGCTTCTGCAGGGCCAGCACATGGGAAGTGCTGAGGAGAGAGCGCGTCATACGAGCAAGAACGCACTTAAGATGGAGGGTGGGGGCGGCAGCTTACGCTTGGCAAAGCGGTCCCCAGGATAGATGTGGCGGTTGTAGACATCCATGATGTACACACGTCGGTCACCCATGAAGTCTCGTTCATGCCCGTTGCCCTGTGGAGAGGATGGGGAAACCACTCACAGACAGGTGCCCTGGGCAAGGCTAGGACACCTCACGCCCCAGCTCAGGTAACTCTCCCAGGCCTGGCAGTATGGCTTGCTCTTGGGGGCAGAGGGTTTCATGGCTGTCAAGTGGCAGAGCTGGGATTCAACCTCAAAACCTGGCCCCACGGCCTTCAAGCATGACCTTGAACAAGCCCCAGCCCCCTTAGTTTCCCCATCTGAAGCAGAAATCCTGGCTCTGCCACCCTTCCAAGTCTGCAGCTGGATCAGTTAGGACCAGGGACAGAAAAGCAACGTAAGGGACTGTGCATGTGCCTTGGCTAGGAGCCCAGTGCCTCGAGGACTGAAGCAGGACCCCGACTGACACAGGCCACAAGCGCAGCGGTGTGGGAGGGGGCAGCCATGAGCCCCTCCCCGTGTCTGGCCGGAGCAGCCTGTCGTGTGCGCAGGGTTCTGAGGGGTGCCTTGCGCCAGGCACTCCACCCCCCAGGCAGCCCTGAAACCGTGCAAGCGCCTGCCTGAGGAGCAGGTCCCGGGCCCGCTAGCTCTGCAGGGCAGCGCCCCAACTGCCAGCAAGCAATGGAGCACCAGGCTGGGTCCATGGCTAGAGCAGCACTGTGGGGCGGTTAGGAAGTGCCATCACCTGCACGTGGTGTGAGGGGCAGTCAGGAGGCGGGAGGGGAGCAAGGAGGAGGACCCACCACCCTGGGCAGGGGGACAAAGACCCTCCAGGGCCAGCCTGTGAGATGGAGGACAGGAGCCACGAGAGACACAGGAGGTCAGGGTGGGGGTGGCAGAGGCCCGGGTAGAGGGAGGGAGCCCCGAAGTGTGGGCTATGTGGCAGGCAGAGGCTGCTGGGGACATAAGATGGAAGACTCTCCTCTCCTGGGGTCCGGGGTGGCAGGTGCTGGGAGAGCCCAGCCCACTCACCTGATGGGCATCAAGGTCAATGATGGTGGCCCTGGAGATGCCCTCCACACGCTCAAACAGAAACTGCCCAGGGAGGAGAGGGGAGGTGTAAGGACCCAGACGAGCCAGAGGACCCAGCCCCCAGGGACTCCCAGTTGGTAAGAGGCCAGGCAGAAGGACACACGTGCCTGTGGAGCTTCAGAGAAGCATGTGTGAATGCAGGAGGTGGTCAGGGAAGGCTTCCTGGAGGAAGGGGTGTGGCTGAGCACTAAAGGGTCAGAGGGCAGGAAGAAGATTCCCTGGGAAATGTGTAGGGGTGAAGAGGAGAATGCCCCTAGCCCTGGAACTTCACTCACCAATCTGTGCCTGTCCCTAAGATGCCCAGGCCTAAGTGCCTCTCCTCCAGGAAGCCTTCATGCCCTCCTGCTCCCCTACAGGAAGGTCCTGGTGCTTCCCTAATGGCCCGTTAGGCCCTCCCCTAATGGCCCGGCCAGCCTGCTGACCCACATGCCACTCCCCTTAATTTATGCGCCCCATGAAAGCAGGGACCACATTGGCCCATTCCTGACGCCCAACACAAGGCCAGGCACAGAGCGGCCGGGGGAACTGTGGGCCGGACAGCCCTGGAGGCCAGCCCCAGCTTTGCCCTTGCAGCTGTGCCCTTACCTCTCTGGGCCAGGCTCCTCCTCTGGGGACCCAGCTAGGTGGGTCACGGAGCACAGCACAGGGCTGAGCGTGCAGGAAGTGCCAGCTGCCATCAGCACCATCATCCTGTCTACTCCTCCCTTCCTCCCGCTCGTTTGCAATAGTGCCCTTCTTCCCAGAGCTTAACGCTGCTGACATACAGCACATCCCACCCTGCTCCAGGCCCCCGCCTCTGCGGGGCGCTGCAATAACTACCTTCAGCCACAGGCAACCCTTCTAAGCTACATGGAAGAAGAGAAGGTGTCAGATCTGAACTCAGTTCCAGCCTGGCTGAGCAACCCAGGCAAGCCCTCTACCTGCTCCAAGCCTCAGCTCCCTTCCCTGTAATTCGGGGCGAGAACACCCGACTTGGGGCTGCGGAGGGACGCAGGGAGGGCTCTTGGAGGCAAAGCCCACGTGCTCAGACACACCTTGACGGCTAGCGTGATGTCTGCGTAGGCGCAGAAGCCCCCGCCCCGGTCGCTGGAGCAGTGGTGGAAGCCGCCCCCTGCGGAAGGGCAAACAGAGGCACTGGTCAGCCCCGGCTCCCTGTCCGGCCACCCTCCCGCAGTCCCCTTTCTCAGCTCCCAGGGACAGCTCCTCAGACTCCAGATTGGCAGAGTGAACTGAGCCCCTCAGTTCTCCAGCCACCTCTCCGGGTATCCCCAGCAAGTCGCCCACAGTGCCTGCTCATACCCCCAGGGGACAGGGAGCTCATCACCCCAAGGCAGAAAGCTGCTCGCTGCTCCCTGCCCCAGAGGGCTGGGCCTGCCTCCACGTGACTCCCTGCCCCAGAGCAGGTGGTGGCGTGCAGGACCACCACGGAAGGGGGTGGTTGGGAAGGGCGCCCTCTGCTGGTCAGGGCTGCCCATGGCAGCGGGAGGGGCTGGAGACCAGGACCCACCGACCGGAAACCCTGCCTCCGAGCCCCAGGGTGGGCAGCAAGGCTTCCCCTGCAACCCCTGGGAGAAGCTGAGTGGCAGGGGCCCTCTGAAATAGAGCCCAACACCTGCCCCCCAGACAGCGTTTAGCCAGGGCCCATGCACGCAAGGGACTTGCCCCTTCCCCCACTCAGGAGGCCATCGCAGGATCACAGGGAGGTAACAGCCAACACTGAACCCCAATCAGGCACCAACCTTGCTGAAGACTCCCTACAGTCCTGGGAGAGGCGCTGTCATCACCAGCACCCCACGCTACAGATGAGAAGGCTGACTACACACAGGTTAGCACTTGCCTGGGGCCACAGCTGGGGAACAGCAGAGCCAGGACTCAACCCCGGGCTGCATCAGGCCCTGGGCTCTCAAGCTTTACCAGGCCACAAACCGTCCCTGGGGAAGGACCCCCGGGCCCTCCTCAGAGCCCTTCTGCACACACAGGGCACGAACCGCCCGCCTGTCTGCACAGCAGGGCATCTAGGAACATCGCTGTGCCGGACCTGATGCCCAGCACCCGACAACCCAACATGGAAGAGACACCGCCCTGGCCAGGCAGAGTGCACAGCAAGGGCAGGGCAGGCCCTGCTATGGGGCTCTGAGCAAGCCACAGGCTGCTCTCGATGTGGTCCGTTTCCTCATGGGGAAATGGGCCTGATGACAGTTATGCCTAGCTCACATGACAGGCTAGATAGCAAAGGGTTTTACAAACTGTCAAGTGCTGTGCCTCCATGAGGGACAATTACAGGGACAATGAAGACTGATGTGTACAGCCCTTTTGTGAGCCAACCTTGCAGGAAAGTCTGGGGGCTGGGGAGTGCAGGCCCTGGGGACCCCGGGTCTCTCCACCCACCACGACACAACCAAGCTGCTGGGGCCATCCTGGGCCCCAGGAGACAGATGGAGTCTTTCTGGAGAGACACACAGAGAAGGCTTCAGTGTCACACAGAGATCCCAGGGGTGGCACAGGCTGTTTGGGAGGGACGGATCTCCCTGTCACTGAAGTATGCAAAGGCAGGCCTGGGCAGCCACCTGGGGAACTCTTTAGACAAAGATTCCACGTCAAATGGAGGCACCAGTTGGTCCCTCCCAGGAACCTGCACATCTACCTCCAGGCCACTCCATAAGGAGGATCAAGGGTGGCTCCAGTGACACCAGAGCCTCTGAATTCATGGCTGCCACCTCCAGAGTCCTGCCACCCTGCCCCCCCAGACCTGTTCTAGCCCGAGCCATCAGGCCAGACTGGACATTCCCGAGGCCCCGGGCACTTACCCACGTTGATGGCCCAGCCTCGCTCAACGGCCAGCTTCCCCGCCTTTGGAGACAAGCAGAGGGTGAGGGCACAGGCCGCTGATTCCCTCCCCCTCCCAATTCGAGCACTCATTCTAGACACACTGCTTCCAGCCAGCTGCGGGGCAGGGACCAGCTGAGCTGCGAGGTGGGGGCAGAGGAGGAACCCCCCAAGCAAACTCAGCCAATGCAAGAAGCAAGTATCAGACTGGCTGGCCATGAGATGTACAGTACGTGAGCCCCTTTGCAATTTTGCAAGGGAACTGGAAGAAATGCAATTGCTTATCATCGATTACAAGTAAGCTGACGATAATTTTAATGTGGCTTTCAAAGGGAAAATGGGCAATTTTCTCCTAATGGAAATATAGTAGACTGGACACTGAAATCCTGTAGGAAACCACAGTTTTGGGGTAGGCAATACTATTCCACTAAGCTAGAAATATAAAAACGTACAAATTAGTAAATCTAAAAGAAAGCTGTAGGGGATCAGCAGGTGCTGACCCAAGGCTGGGCGAGATGGCCACACGCTGGAATGTGGAATGTTCCCTGCCTCCAGTTGACGAGGCGGTCTGTGGCTAGGTTCTCAGGAAACCACACACAAGATGTGATTATTCTTTGTTGTCACCTAAGTGGGGGAGGCGTTGAGATCGTGGGGGTCAGTTTTCCGTCTTAAGTCTGGGTACACTAGAGACACAGTTTTAGGGTACACTCTTTGGGGGATGGAGATATATGTCAAATACCAGCAAATACAGTAAGTATAGGAGGCCAGGGGGAAAGAACAATGAATTCTAATGTCCCCAGATGGGAACAAAGGCTTTTGGAGAAAGAGTCATTGTTGCTGAGGCTTGAGGAATATTCAGGATTTCATTCAACTACTAAGTGTGGGGGGCATTCCAGGGCCAAGGAGGTGGGAGGGAGCCCAGGTGCAGGGGCCCCGAGCCCAGCCGTGCCGCCCCTCCCACCTACCATTATGGTTCCTCCTGTTTGGGTCCGAAGGGGCCTCAGCACCTTCCTCTGCACGAGGAAGTTGGGGAGGAAGACAACAGGGGGGATTTCCGTGATGGTGGCGACAACAAAGGACCACTGTGGAAAGAGACGGGAAAGGGACACGGCTGTCAGCCTCCCACTACCCGTCCAGAGGCGCCCGGTGGGAAACCAGATCCCCTGCAACGCCTTGAGGACAGTCTCAGGGTGCCCTTGGGTGAATGCCCCGGCCAAGCATACTTCCGTGGTGAGAAATGAGAGCTGCAACACCATCTGCCCCAGGGGCAGTTTACACAGTGCACTTCTTACAGCCAAGCCACCAGACGCCACAGCGCTACGAGGCCTTCGGCTGCCCTCTTACGCCTAGAACAGGAACTACAGAGGGCTCCAAGTCAGCTGTGCAGACTGGGAGGGCTTTGGCACAACTGGTCTACCCCCTGCCCACCACCTACAGAAGGGGACGCTAAGGCCCTGGTCTCCTTCCTCCCCAGCACTGCATGCTCTTTTCACCCATCAGGAATCGGAGCTCCCTGCAAAAGGGGCATGCTGCCCTCATCTCTGATAGCTGAGGCAGTGGGCCTAGGGCACCTGGAAAGTATTTATGCCAAGACCAGGACACAGTGTGTGCCCTGTGACCTCCAAGTCCCCCAGCAAACACCATGGCTCTGACTGCCCAGCTGCACCCAAATCCCGAGCCACCTCCGCCTGCCTGAGACTGTAACTAAGCCCTTTCCTGCCCCCGCCCCCCCAGACCCCAGGCAGGTCCCTGGTGGGCCCTGGCTGCACAGTGCCCACGGGGAGTCACTCCCTTTGTAGGTGTGTAGTGCCTGCTAGGCGCCCTCAGCCTGGTGCTGGGTATCCTGTCCCCATGCCAGGACACTTGCAGCCTAGTGGGGAGGCAGGTAAGTCAAGAAGCACTTACATGCAGTGCTGTAAGTGCCCTGGAGAGGATGGGTGTGGGGCACACAGGAGGTGCCATCTGCAGGAGATGATGGTGAACAGGACTCATCCAGATGCAGCGTCGAGGTTAAAAGGCAACTGCCAGCAGAGAAGTGAGTCCATGACCCAGAGAAGCGGGGTGCAACTGGGCCAGGGCACAGTGCCTTATCACATGGGGCTTAGCCAGCTAGCCCAGGCTCATGCATTGCCAGAGCAGTAGGGAGCCATAGATGGTACTGTCCCAAGCTGCTCTAGAGGCAGCAAGGAGAACCAATTAGAGGAGCAAGAATAGAAGCAGCAGCCCCAGGGAGGAAGAAGATAATGAAGGTGTGGTTAAGTGAGAAGGGGAGGTATAAACAGCATGTGGGGATGGGGAGGCAGGGAGGGGGGAGAGGGTTCCAGGAGGAAATCCAGGTGTTGGGTCTGGGGCCTGTGAGGGTAATGGCACTACCAAAGAGGAAAACCTGGGGCAGGTTGGGAAAAAGGTGCTGGGTTCTGCTCTTGATGGGCAAGTAGGCCCCTGGGGCAGCCAGGCTGAGCTTTAAGTGAGGCAGGAGTTCAGGAGAGGGTGGGGGCGGAGAGACCCAGGAGACGTAACAGGGGTGGGAGAGTGGGAGACTAGGTCAGAACCACAAGACTCCAAGGTTGAAGGGCAAGGGACTGCCCGGGACAGGGGCAAGGGTGTGGGTGTGGGAAGATGCCCAGGAGACCACATGAAGAGGTTTCTGGAAGGTGCAGGTAAAGGTAGGCACTGAGGCTACTGAGGCATCATGGGAGAGAACTGGGAAGCGTGGCCAGGGCATCCACCGACCAGTAGAAGGGTTTTAGGGTGGGAGAGACCTGAGCATGTTCAACAAGCAGCCAGTAGACACGGAGACAGAAAGGCCGATGGGTGTGATGGCAGAAAGGGTATGTGCCTTGTGGGGCCAGGGTGTGCCTTAGCGCAGAGGCACTGTGGGGGCTGGAAAGAGGCAGGACACCACCTGCGTCAGGCCCCCAGAGGGCCCCTGCAGCATTGGCCACCAGCCACCTGGGTGCATCTTGCTGGGTCCTGGGTGTGCTGGCACCCAGGCTGCCCTTTATTGCCAGTGAGTACCCATGTGGCCACCCCTCCCATGGCTGGCAGGGACAGCTGGAGGCTGGGGAAGCTCACCTCACCCCTCACCCCAGTGGACAGCTGGTGAGCAGGGTCCCACAGGACCCAGACAGCCCATGGTCTGAAAGGAGTGGTGCCCATCGGGCCTTCTGCAAGCCCAGGCCCTCTGCCGCGGAGGCATCACGGGGCCTGGGAGGGGCAGGAGTGCAAGGGCTGGGACCGGGAAGGCCAGACAGCTGCAGGACATGCACCTGAGTGTGCACGCGTGCGTGCAGAGTGTGCATGTGTGTGGTGGGGCAGACCCAGAGAGGGCCCTGCCCAGGGCCATTGGCTCCTGTCTGCCACACCAATCCCACGCCCAGGACAGGCCTGGTGTGCGGTAGGCATGGAACCACGGTTTTGTAGCAATGAATGAACAAGTGAACCACTGAAGGGCCGTATTAAGTCACCCACCGCTGCCACTCCCGGGCAGGCCGACAGGGGAGAGACTGAAGACAGTGAGGCCGAGTTGCGGCCCCTGAGAGGCCCAGCAGAGACAAACCCAGGAAGACACCTCCCCCGTGTGCTCCACGGCCAGCGCCACCACCGCTCTCCACCAAGAACAGGCTCCGCAGGCAAAGGAGTCTGGGAAACACTGCTCACTCACGTCGCCCACTTCCCAGAAATTCACAACACACTCTGGCATGGAAAAGGCTCTGAGGAGTTCTGCAGGAAATAATCCTCTTTAACTTTGCTTCACCCAGCATTTCCCAAACTCTCCGACCACAAACGCCACCTGCCCCGTTTGCTTGTTGCACAACACGTGCAGCGGCATGGGACGTGCTTGGGAACCTCGAAGCTACAGACTGGATCTGACTGGTCCGAAGGCCGTTGCAGCCACCCGGAGCGTGCGTGGGACCGGCCAGCGGCCCAGCCGCACAGGAGGTGTGCGCGTGCCTGCACACCAGCGCTCCTGGGGGACGAAGCCCTCGGGGAGAGCAGGCGGCGAGGGGAGGCTGGCACCTGGGCCTTCTCCCCGCCCAGCGGTGGCTCCTGCATGAGGCAGCGAGACAGGGAATGAAACCACAGCCTGTACTGTTCAATCTGGCAGCTGCCGGCCACGTGTGGCCACTTATCTATGATTTTAAATTAATCAAAATTTTGAAAAATTAGAATTTCATTCCTCAGTCACACTTGCCACATTTCAAGAGCCACATGTGGCCAGTGGGTGCTGGACTGTACAGAGCAGGACTGGGACATTTCCATCCTTATAGAAGATTCTGTTGGATGGCACTGCTCCTACTGGTGGCCAAGGTGAAAAACAGATGGAGGGGGTGGGGCAGACTGCAGCCTGGGACGCTGGGTGAGGGGAGAAGACAGAAGGGGGCCCTGGCTGGAGCAGGCTGTGTGGTCAGAGGAGTGACAGGTGTGCGCGGGGGCAGGCATCACTGGGCGACAGCTGGAGACTGGCTGGCAAACAGCAGGGGTGCACAACAGCATGCCAATGACAAAGCAGCACCGAGGAGCTCCCCCACAGCCAGTCAGGGGACCGAGCAGAGAGGCCTGGAGGAGGGGCAGGAGGGACGCAGCACGGTGCCATGGACAGGGACTGTATCTGAGGCTTGCAGCAAGCTGCAGCAGGACGCCCAGGTCGGGCTCATAAGTCCTCCTCAGCATCAAAACGGTCCAACTCGAGGTCTGCCACAGGCTGCAGGAATTGGGCACAGCTCCTCATTTTTACGTGTCTCCATCTGCCTCGTCTACAGAACAGGGCTTGGATGAGGATGCAGACATGCAAACCGGTCAGAAAGGCCTCTCCTGTTGCCCAGTCTAAAATGCCCCCATCTGGGCCCCATGAGGCCCTCCCCAGCCTCAACTTTCCACACAGCACTTGTCCCTACTTGGGGCTACAGTATGTCCTAGTCAGTATCCGTCTCTCCCAAAATGCCAGCTCCATGGGGCAGGCCCGTGTTCTGTGCAGACAGTGCTGACAACGCCAGGCACACGGCAGGTGCCTGCAGCGCATGCTGTTGATCCCCTTTTCTGGCAAGTGCACCCACTGTCCTTCCTGTACCCTGCTCCTGATGGAAGCCCCCCACCTGCACTGTCCCAGGAAAGCCATGACTGACAGGGGCTATGACAGCCTGGCTGCCTGCTGCTGAGCCGGACAACCTGTGGGGACACACACCTGAGACCCCTGTGGGACCAGGCTGAGGCCATGCTTCCAGCCCACACCTGTACTCAATTCTTTCCTTTATCCTCTGCCATCCGCCTACCTCGGCCAGGTTCACCTGAAATCACCTGCACCTGCATCCCCAAATCAGATTCTGCTTCCAGGGCTCTGGTTCTCCCAGTGTGGTTCTGGACGGGCAGCTCTGTACCACTGCAGAATGCACTAGAAAGGCAGGTGCCCAGTCCCTGCTCAGACACCCTGAACCAAACCCCTGGGAGTCTGTTGCAACAAGGCCTCCAGTGATTCCAACGCTCGCTCAAGCCTGAGAACCACCGAGCCAGGGACCATGACCTCGTGCTGAATGAATGCACTACGCGCCCAGCCTGATGCCACCACCCATCAAAGGGCACGACCTGCAAACTTCCCCATCCCAGGGCTTGGCCAGGTGTCAGGGCCAGGCCAGGCTGCCAAAAGGTGGAGACACTCCAACGCCCACAAGCTTGAATGTGGTGCCTCACACAACAGGCCATTCGGCCTTGGAAAGGAGCGAGCCCGAAACACTGTGCTGACGGGGGGACACAGACCAGGTCGTGAGAGCGTTCATGGCGTGTGCGGAGCAGGCACATCCAGAGACAAGACGCCACTGGGGCGCGGCAGGGCGGGCAGCGGCTGCTTACAGGGAACGAGGTTTTCCTGGGGGCGAGGAAGCGTGCGGGGCCGCTCGGCTGAACGCACGCTTCAGAACGGCAACGCCCAATTTCGTTATGTGAATTTTACCACAGAAACATCGTCTTTAAAGGAGAGAGGGCCCCTAAGGGAAGAAGAAACCAGTAAGAGAGAGTGGGAGGCCTGAGAGTCTCCTTCCCCCAGAGGCGCTGCCAGGCACTCTGCCCACTGACCGCGGCGGCGGTCCCCTTCCGTCGCTGGAACACCCCAGCTCCGCCGCCTCCGGCCGCAGGGCCCTCGCACTTCCAGAGGCGCACGCCTCCCGCTCCTCCCGCCAGTCTGCGACCTCAGTCCGCCCACAGCTCTCCCCATCCCCTTCCCTGCTGTCCCTTCCTCTCCTCACCACACTGAGCACCTTCTGACGTCCCTTATCGCCGCTTAACCCTTATGTTTACTGCTGACTCCCTCACCCATAGGCCAGTTCCATAAGGAAAGGGACTGATTCCATCCCATGCCATCCCCCACAGCACCTAGAACACGGTGCTCACCAAGCACGTACTGGACAGACTGTCCCCAGCACTGCCCAGCACAGATGCACAAGGACAGGAAGCTGCATAGCACTAACCACGCCCCGTGGCATCCCCGACTCTGGGCCTTGCACACAACAGCCACTCGATAAACATTCGGTCCCTGAACTGACGTCATCTTGCGAACATCAGGCTCCTGCTTCTCCTTCATGCGGCCCCAGTGTGGGGCCTGGCGTGAGCCCCGGAACAGGGTGGGGCAGAGTGGGAGGAGGTGGGAGCCACCCCACACACAGAGCGCCAGGGAAGAGCAGCCCTGGGAAGCCGCTGGGACTCTCCAGGCCTGCGCTGGGTGCGCACAGCAGACGGAAGAGAAGGGAAACGCCCGGGGTGGCCACGCTGCTCAGCTGCACGCCAGACGACGTCTGGGTCTCCTGAGCAGCAAGGGCACATCACGCCATGTCACTCTCCCACTCAAAACCCTCTGGCGACTGACCACAGTGCCCGGAACGAAATTCACAGTCCTCCCACGGCCTGCGAGCCCGTGTGGCCTGTGCTTCTGGCCTCCCTCGCTGCACCAGGGACCAGGCAACGTTTTGTTCCCTTCCATCAGCGGCAAGCCGCCTTCTCCCCTTCGGGAGACCAACTCCCCTCCCGGCTCTAGGCACCAACTCTGCAGCATTCTTCCTTCAAAGCTCAGATGACAGTCGCCTACTCCTTTTGTTAGTCTCAGCTCAAACCCACCTCCTCTGTGAGGCCCTCCCTGACCACCCGGTCACCCTCTATTCTTCCTTTTCTTCACAGCCCTTGGCGATCTCCGGAATGCTCTTGGGATGGCTGCCTTATTTTCAACCTTCCACACCAGAGTGCAAATCCACGGGAGCTGAGACCTTGCTGTCTTATTCTCGTCCCTGTTGAGCACACAGTTGGCATTCAATACAGATGTGCTGACTGACTGCTTCTTCACCTTACAAGGTGCTATGGAAATCATCTTTCTCCTTTTGGTCTGGCTGCCAGGAAGCTCGGAGCCAAATCTGTAGCCCAATCACCATTGTGGTTAGCCTATTCAGTTCACATATCTGAATTCTCCTCCTGCCTTTGACCTCAATTTTCTACTTAAGACTTGACCTGGTAATACTTTTTTAAACTATTACTTATCACACAGTACACTGCTTTCAGGCTTTGGGGGGATCAAGGCCAGGCACACAGCCTGCCCAGCACAGTCCCCTGAAGTCCCCTTGAATGGGTAGCATCCTGGAGCCTACCCCCATCCCCAGCCTTCTCCTGGCCCGCCCACCTCAGCTCAGCCCCACTCTGGCCTGGTTTCTCCCTGCCCCAGCGGAGTGTCCCATCCCTGCCCTCTCCTCCCCATCTCAACTCCAGCAGGCCTGTCCTCCCAAGCCCAGCCCCAGGCTGTGGACTGTGCCCAAGAAACCAGAGCAGCCAAGCACTGGGCTCCCTGCCAAGGCCTCACACCTCTCTCTCCCAGCAGCCAGGTTTCAACCTCTTCCTAGTAATCTTTCATGGGCTCACACTGTCACAGCACTCTCTAGAATTCTCACAGCCCAGGCTAGGGGAGCAGGGAAGGTAGCAGCCATGACCTGGAAGACTGGACTGGTGTCCTGCCAGGCCTGACTGACCGTGCAGGTGCCCTTGAGCAAGCACGGCATCTTTCTGGGCCTGGGTTTCCGCCTGCAGTGCAGAGGGGCCTAGGGACCTCTCGTACCCACTGCAGCTCTGAGTCTAGGGTGAGTCCAGCCAGGAAGCCTGGGGATCAGGGCTCCCACATCCTTGGAAAAGCAGAGAACCTGTGGCATCCCTGACCCCGGCGCCACCAAGGCAGGCTGCCACCTCTGCCCCACACAGGGGACTGACTGAATGCCTCGGCCCTCAGAACCCCAGCCAGCACAGGAGTGGGAGCTCTGTGGCCTCTAGGAGGAGGTCACAAACCAGCAGCCAGTGTGTTCAGTTCAGTCTGCAAGTAGGGTTTAAAAATCTTAAAATGAGTTGCTGCATTAAGAAATCAGGAAATGTCACTTAATAATCTGGATTTCCAGCTTCTCTTTGAAGGCAGGTGCTCTGGCCCCGCTGGGCCCACAGTGGAGCTGAGTAACAGCTGCCCACCTGGGAAGGGGCGGGAGTTCTCCAGGTCCCACGCACCACTGACCTGCCTATTTGTTTATATTCCCTCCTGGGCCCTGGGTTTCAAACTAATTTTTAGCACAACAATTTTCAAGGAGTCTTTAGCAGAAGTCCTTGGAACAGAATCTTAAACTTCAGCCCAGTAGAAAAATAGGCCAAAGTGGAAGAGCTTTGGTTGGACAGGAACAAGGGGCTAGGGTACGCCCCACCCCACCCTACCCAGGGTCTCTGAGGCCAGTCCACAGAGCACAGAGTGATGGTTGCTAACACAGAAACCCAGATATCCTATGTAGATTCAGTCTCCACCAGCAGACATACCTACTTGCATACCCACTAGAGAAGGGAGCTCACTACCTCCAGAGTGGCCTGATCCACCCTGGGGTCTGACTTTTTATGACCTCTCTCTCCTTCCCTTAGAGACCACAGACTTACATGATCCCCCTGCACCAGGGGAAGGAATAGGTGGCCCCTGAGGCTGTGCTTCCTCAGGCTGAGCTGCCACTGCTCCTGGCCACAGCCCCCGAGCCCACTGTCCTGTACCTTCAGCTCGTTGAGATAGCGCCTCGTGTGCACCACCAGCAGGTCCTCGTCCGAGGCCTCCCTCGCCTCCACCAGCATGGAGTCGCACAGAAGCTTCTCTTCTGAAACCACAAAGTGAACACCCTGCTTCGCTGCTGACCTCAATGCCAGGCCCAGCCTCTGCCCTTCCCACAGACTTAGCCTCTGACAGCCTGCGCCCAGGAGGGGTGGGCATTGTGGCTTGTGGGCATTCTGAGAAGGGGCTGCTCCCCTGGCCAGTGTGGGCAATGGCTAGGCCCTCTGGCCAGGGACACTGAACATTATGCACAGTGACCCCCATGCCTCCCAAGCCAGTGAGAGCCACAAGGTAAGCTCAGGTGGACAACTTTAAAAGGCAAGTGGCACAAGGGTCAACAATGTTAACTCCCAAGGTGAGAAAACCTCTTCTTAGGAATTCTCCCTCTACCTTCTGATGACATCATGGGAGGCTCAGTGTGGTGTGGCCTTCCCTTAATACCTGCCTAAGCCTTGATCATCTCTCTTTTGAACCAGCAATCAGGCTCGCAGCCTGCAGGCAACAATAACCAGCCTGAACTGAATTGCAAAGTTTTCAATGCATTTATTTTTTACCATGACCTTCTATTTATAGCAAGTGAAACTGCCTTTTCCCACTTAGATGACATAATATTTTCTTTTAAAACAAGTTTAAGTGGTTCTCCCCCAACCAAAGCTAAGTCATTAAAAATATGAAGCAAATAATGGAACAGGTGGCACAAGGAACTGGCAAGGTCCCAACAGTGGCTTGCAACTGACTGATATTTGGGAAACACATTATTCCCTCACTTCTTACATACACCAGACAAGATTCGCTCCACTCTGTGACAGACGACAGTGAGGCTGACAGCAGGAAGTAGCCTAGGACACCGAGAACCAGACCATGATGCTCTGAGCTCTAGGGAAATCGGAATCTAGGGGACTTGTTTCAATGAGTCATCCTTAGAAACCAACCCTGGTAGAAACCAGCAAGTCCCATTCATTTCCACATATAGTTCTAGGAAGTACTCCCTTCCCAGAACATTCCATGGTCTCCACTGCCTTCAGGCAAAGGACCAGCTCCTTTCCTGACACAGCATCTGAGCCCCTTTGCCATGTGGCCCCTGCTTCCCTTCCATCCTCATCCTCAGAGAAGAGAGGAGGGAACTCAGGCCAACTGGTGGCTCCGAGATAAGGGAGATAAGGAACCCTTCTGTTGAGCTACTGGGTGATGCAGGAACCCAAGAAGGAACACTGCTGCAAATAGAGCATAAGGACCATATTTAGGAAGGAAAGAGAATCACTGCAAGGTGACAGGCAAGTGGGCTCCACAAACTTTGCCAGGGTTCTCACCATCACTGAACACCACTGGGGTTCTTAATATTTTTCTTTGAATGCTCATTCTGGTCACTACCACAAATGGAAAATCAGTATCACTTGCCATAAATAGAAGTTAACCAAAAAACAAAAACAAAAACAAAACAAATACAGTGGAAACAAGCAATGTTATTAATCTCTAATTCCACCCTATTTTCTGTAAGACACAGAGCCTGAGGCTTGCTCTAGATTTGTTGAAAAGGAAGATGGAGTGAGGAGTGGTGGCTCATGCCTGTAATCCCAGCACTCTGGGAGGCAGAGGTGGGAGTATCGCTTGAGCTCAGGAGCTTGAGACCAGCCTGAGCAAAATCGACCCCATCTCTACTAAAATGGAAAAATTAGCTGGATGTGGTGGCACATGCCTCTAGTCCCAGCTACTAGGGAGGCTGAGGCAGGAGAATCACTTGAGCCCAGGAGTTTGAAGTTTCTGTGAGCTATGATGATGTCACTGCACCCCACCCAGGACAACAGAGCGAGAATCTGTCTAAAAAAAAATAAAGAAAAGGGAGATGGGGAGATGGGCTTAGGTGTTAAACATGGGCTAGCTCCACAGTGAAACTTTCTCCATGATGTGATCACAAGTGTTGTATGATTTAAAAATATTCAGTGTTTCATCCCTATGCCAGGTAACATTTCCTACTTCTCTCAATTAAAGAACCCCTGATATAGGGAACAAGAATATTCATACATGAGCCTACTGTGATACCTGAATTACCCACCTAAAACAGGCCCTTGGGGCCGGGCGCTGTGGCTCACACCTGTAATCCTAGCTCTTGGGAGGCCGAGGCGGGCGGATTGCTCGAGGTCAGGAGTTCAAAACCAGCCTGAGCAAGAGCGAGACCCCGTCTCTACTATAAATAGAAAGAAATTAATTGGCCAACTGATATGTATATAAAAAATTAGCCGGGCATGGTGGCGCATGCCTGTAGTCCCAGCTACTCGGGAGGCTGAGGCAGAAGGATCACTCGAGCCCAGGAGTTTGAGGTTGCTGTGAGCTAGGCTGACGCCACGGCACTCACTCTAGCCTGGGCAACAAAGCGAGACTCTGTCTCAAAAAAAAAAAAAAACAGGCCCTTGGGTTACAAACCACAGTAAAAAACAATGTGCTCACCTTGCTCAGTGGAATGAGCTGCGAACTGGGGAGCCTGGAGCTCTGAGTTCTGAACCCCACTCTGCCTCTCAGGAGCTGTATGCCCATGGGTATGTTTCCTGACCTTTCTGGGCCCAATTCTCCCCATCTGTAAGCAACGGGGGTTGGAATACAGGTTCTCTACCTCCTGGACTCTCTGAACTTCAGGGAATGAACTTGGACTCCCCCCAACTTCAGCTCCCCTTCCACTGGGCCTCTGGGGGCAGAGGCAGGACTTAGGTCCACTGTAGTGGGGAACCAATGAGAGTCTGAGGCAGGAACACAAGCTTAGGGGTCTGTGTTGGAAAGATCCTTTAGACAGCATGGGTGGAAGGCAGTCTCAGGACCAAAACTAGAGCCAGGAGAGTCTGAAGCTTATGTTGGAAACAAGGATGGGGAGAACAGGTGGGTTAGAGGAAGGAGATGTAAGGTCTGAGGTGAGCCTTCCATACCTTTTAGGAAATTGATCACTTTGCCCCATTTCCCTGCATCAAAAGGGTGCAGCTTCTCCAGGCCCATGAAGGTGATGTTGTAGCGCGGCGAGTACACGATTGGCCAGCGTGTCTCTGGCACATGCTGGTACAGCTGTGTTGTGTGTAGCCTACCATGTGCAAAAGAACAGACACACAGATGAGGGCAGCCTCAGGGTGGCAAGCAGCCTCCTCCCCCCAGCCCACTTGAATTGACCAGGCACAGCCCTAACCCAGCACCTCCAGCCCCTTCAGCCCTCAGCTGCAGAAAAGGGCCACGTGACAACAGCAGCAACAATAACAGCTCCCCACTGAGTACTGGCTGTCTTTCCCCAAACCCACTTCCAACTCCATCCTCACAGCAGCCTCGGGAGGTAAGCGCCACAGTGGCTCAGAGAAGGGACCAGGTGTGCCCAAGGTCATCTGGCAGGGCTGTGGAGAAGCAGGTGTGCCCCCAGCTGAGTCTGGCTGCAAGGCCTCAGCCCCTCACCTCTATGCTACAGTAATTACCCCAACAGCTGTGCGATCCTAGGCCTCTGCTGTAAAATGCGTGGCTGCTGCCAGGACTGAAATGATGCAGCTAAGGGGCTGGGCACGGAAAGCGCTCAGAAACCCAAGTGAGGACTCAACCCGGGATGGGGGTCACTTCGGGCCCGCAGCACGGCCGCTCGCCCCCCAGCACGGCCTCATAGCCACCACACAGGGCGAGAAACCCACTCCAGCTGCTGCCACTGTGGGGGCCCGCACAGCTGGCGGGGCCGGGGAGGGCAGACGCAGACCCGCACACGTCGCCAGCCCCGCCGGGTCGGGATCTCGCGCCGCGGGGAAGCAACCGGGCAGGCCGGGCGCGCGGGGCAGGCCTGGGAACAGCCGGCCCGAGCACTCCCTCGCCCGGCGTACCTGGGTCCGCACCTGGTGGGCCCACCTGCCGCACACGCACTCACCCGCCGGCCACGCGACCCCTGGGAACCCCCGGGGCTCGGCGTCCCACCCGCGCCCCCACCCCGCCGCACTCACATCCCGGGGCTGGGCCCTCCCTGCGCGGCCGCCGCTCCGCCACCGGGCGGGGCGGGCGCGGTGGGACTAGGCCCGCCCAGGACACGCCCCGGGCCTCGGCGCCTCCGCTGGGGGCGGGGCTGCGGCAGGCTCGGCTCCGCCCCGCCCGCGCCCGCGCCTGCGTCACAGACGGTGGTGTCACGCGCGCAGTTCGCGCCCAGGAAGGAGGCCACGCCCCCAACGCCTATCAAACGCGAAGTCCCGCCCGCCGCAGACAAATACCCAGTGGAATCCCTTCTGGCTCAAAAAGCCACGCCCCTCCTATCGAGGGCGCGCCTTGGAGGGGTGGAAAGTGCCCGGGGGCGTGGCCACAGTATGCCCCTCCCCTCGCAGCCTGTTTCCAAACTTGGTAGAAATAGGACTGTGCAGCTGCTTTGCTGTGTGCCCTGCACAAGTCCCATGGGCTCTCCGACCCTCAGTTTCCTCATCTGTAGAACACGCCTGGTGATCCAATCTTCAGGACGTGGTTGCAGTTGGGTATCTGCGCACATTCCTCTGTCCCCACCCCAAACCCCTCCACCAGGGAAAGCCAAGAAGAGCCCGAGCAACAGCTGGGGGTGTCTGTGAGGGTGAAATCTGGGCGGAGTCCCCAACAGTAGAGCCCCAGAGGACAAAGACAATGGCCTCTCTGTGGGCCCCGCGGTCCCTGCCAACCAAACAGAAGCAGCTGACCAGAGCGCGGCCAGGGCGGCGCGTGCACAGCCGCCACGGCACAGTGCGCAGGCGTGGGCGCCCGCCGCGCAGCCCGTCTGCTCGCCGAGGCGCTGCCCTGGGGCGCGGCTGCGCAGTAGCAGACGGTCTGAGAGCCTTTGTTAGGGTCACAGTTTGCCTTAATCTAGGAAACAAAGTCATAATTATAAAATGTGGTGATCGCTGTGAAAGGCTCAAGCTGAGATCGTGAGAGAGCACAATGGGGCCTCTGATTTAGAAAGTGGTCGGGGAAGGTCCTTTCGAAGAGATGAATTTTCTCTCACTTTTTAGCCACATGTATACCTTATTTTCAGATCCCATTGTGATATGTCACAGCAAGTGTTACCGCGGGTGTTCGCGACGACACACCGAGCGGCACACGGAGAGTCAGTCGGAGAATCGGAGGTAATTAGCCGGCGGGCTCAGGGGGGCCTCACCAAATTCTGAGCGTCATCTACCTGATTTTTGCCCACTTTTATAAAGTTGGGGTGGCTCGAGGGGTGGGGTATCAGGTGTAGGTTAGTTGATGTGTCAGATAATAAGTTAATTTTATGTTGACGCGCCAGGCGATAGATTCAGTGTTATGCTGATGCCAGGCAGTAGACTAGTTGCGGGGCCAGAAAACAGGTTAGTGTTATGCTGATGTGGGTCTTCCGTGAGGGGTGGGGTCTCCGTGCCTGATGCCCAAGCTCCCTCATCAATAAAACAAGACATTGACTTATTGAGCATTGTGTAATTATTTTCCCCTTTCATGCAATCTTGGAATATATTTCAACTTAAAATGAACAAGCCCCCAAAATATAACACTTGTTTTGAAAAATACAGACATAGAAAGTATCAGGGCGTTCCACCAAAACCCGCCTGTTTCGCTTATTCTGCTCCTAAATTGAGCAGCTGCTAACTAATACTCACAGCTGATGAAGTGATTTTGGGTCATACTTCTGATTGGTTGACTACCGTGTAAATGAAGTAACTTTTGGGACATACTTCTGATTGGCTGACTACTATGTAAATGAGGTGACTTTTGGGATGTACTTCTGATTGGCTGACTACTATGTAAATGAGGTGACTTTTGTGAAAACTTGCCATTGGCTAACTGTAACCCCCAAAAAGGTATAAAACTAACAGAAAACAAAAAAGGGGTGCTCAGAGTTTGGTGGCAGATATTCCTCTCTGAGCCTGCGGGGGGGGGGGAATAAAGCTGACTCTCCAACTCTCCCTGTGCCGCTTGGGTTTTTCTTCAGCCAAGAGCTGTTCACACCTGCCGGAACAAAAGGAGAATCTTAACTATGGACATGCACCAATAATTAATAATTGGCAGAGAGCCAATATTTCAATATTAGTTACATTGAAACATCTGTGAACTAAAATGCTCACCACCACCTCCCCACCCCGCCACCAGCTGATGAATGGACCCTAGTGGCCAAAGGAATACCCTAAAGCAAAATTGCCTGCCAGGAGGAGGGAGGTCAGACATGCCTTATCATGCCCCCATCCCTTCTTGGAGACTTCCTTTGTAACCCATTAAAGGCCTAAGGGTATGCAAGACAAACTTCTTTGCAACAAATGGTGGCTTATCTCTGGTTTATGTTAAAACATTCCAAGCCTTTAGACAAAGCTTCATGTCTTTAGCCAATTACAATCCAAAGAATCTTTAAACCCACCTATAACATGTAAGCTCCCCCCCTTCGAGATGTCCCACCTTTTTGGGCCAAACAAATGTAGGCCTCTCACGTATTGATTGATGGCTTTACCTGTAACCCCTGTCTCTGAAATGTATAAAAACCAAACTGTAACCCAGCCACCACGAGTCCACTTGCCCAAGGCCTCTTGGCAGTGGCTCGGGGTCATGGTCCTCAGAATTGGCTCAGAATAAATAGATCTCTCGAGGCTAGAGTGAGTGCCGTGGCGTCAGCCTAGCTCACAGCAACCTCCAATCTCCTGGCCTCAAGCAATCCTGCTGCTCAGCCTCCGAGTAGGTGGGACTACAGGCATGCGCCACCCATGCCCGCTAATTTTTCTATATGTATTAGTTGGCCAATTAATTTCTTTCTATTTATAGTAGAGATGGGGTCTCACTCTTGCTCAGGCTGGTTTCGAACTCCTGACCTCGAGGGATCCGCCCGCCTCGGCCTCCCAGAGAGCTAGGATTACGGGCGTGAGCCACCGTGCCGGCTCAGTTCCGACGGAAAAAAGCCAAACTCTGTAAAATAATTTTAAAGAGATTTATTCTGAGCCAAATTTGAGGACCATGACCCAGAGCCACTGCCAAGAGGCCTTGGGCAAGTGGACTCGCCGTGGCTGGGTTACAGTTCAGTTTTATACATTTTCAGAGTAACAGGGGTTACAGGCAAAGTCACAAATCAATACATGAGAGGCATACATTGGTTTGGCCCAAAAAGGTGGGACATCTCGAAGTGGGGGGGGCTTACAGGTTATAGGTGGGTTTAAAGATTTCTTAGCTGGCAATTGGCTGAGAGAGTTAGACTTTATCTAGAAGACCAGAAAGGATATGCTTACTTTAAGATAAGGGTATGAGCACTCTGGGAGGTCCAGACAGGAGGACATTTTAAATTTACAATAGGTGCCTGCTAGGATGTTTTAAGATGCTTTAAATTTAAGAATAGGCATCTGCTAGGATGCTTGAGTTAAGACAGGGGCTTCTTATCTTTTAGGTGATGTTAATGCCATACCAGAATCAGGTCAGGAAGTAAACCACTGCTTCGTTTGGTTAACAAAAGCCGCTTAGTGGGAGTTTACCGTTTGTCAGCCTGACCCAGCTGGCCTCCTTAGGAAGGAGTTTTTAGCAAAAAAATTAGAGTTCAGTCCTCACCAGAATAAATCTCTTTAAAATTATTTTGCAGAGGTTGGCTTTTTTCTGTTGACACGTCCTATTACAATATTAAAACCATGCCCTTTAAATTCAAGTGAGTACTTCTATTTTCATTCTGTTATATTCGAGATTCACAAGGCCGCGGGACAGAGAGACAGAGTCACCGAGGCTGTAATTATCAAAAGGAGTGTTATTGTGTAGCTCGAGCTAGGGTCTGAGCCCCCAGAGTGCCAGCGCAGTGGCCTCTTCTCCGGGCAGGGACCCTCCTTTGTATGTTAGTCCCCTTTTTATAACTCAGTTGTTTACACACTGGTCATGCATCCGCCCCACAGTGGTTCTTACTCCATCCTGCCCCTGATAGGCTCTAACCTGTTCCTAGCTGAGAGACTCTGGTTTCCACGTTCTTTGTCTTTTTCCTCTGCATCCCATAATGTACTCATAATGCCTTGCGGTTAGCAAACAAGCAGTAAACAGAAGCTGGAAGGTGTCCATTGTCCTTATAGCCCAGTATCTTACAATTCCAGAACCTCTTGATTTTTATACATATTTAACACAACAGCAACAATAACAACAGAATGTTAGCTACTGTTCATTCAGCCCTCAATGAGTGCCAAGCACTGCTAAATATTAATATGTAAAACATATTTTCCCAGGTCTTAGCCCACTTCAGAAAAAAGAAATAAATAAAACATGTTTCATTTGTTTGTTTTATGGATGAAGAGATGATTTTTAAACAACCAGAGGATACTGCAAGTTCCAAGTCCTGGAGTGTATTCAAGGAGCAGCGGAAGCGAACACACGTTGTATTCCTAGCACAAGGGGCAATTCTATTTACCAGGAGGGGCCCAGCAGGAAGGAGAGAGCCCACTCAACTGGGTTTACTGGAAAGAATTTAATGAAGGGCAACTTACCTGAAGCATGGCAGGGTTGGGGGAACCAACAGGAGATGGTGTAGCACCTGGGCTAGCAATAGTGGGGAACTCTCATCCTCTAAACCTGAACGGCAGCGGGAAGGAGTGGTTTCCTGGAATCAGTGAGAGCCACAGCTATGGCCAAAGGAAGCCTACAAGGAGGCCAGAGGGAGACACAGCCACTGCCAGAACTGGGGCTGGGTGGGGAAAATACCCAACTTTCCTCTCCTCCCACCCTCAGGTGCCCTGCTGGCACTTCCTACTGGCTGCACCCAGTTGGAAGCCCAAGACCAAAGAAGCCCTGGTGATAGCATCCATGGCGGCGGTCAGCTTCATGAGGGACCGCTGGGCAGGGTAGAAAACCCTGGCAAGGTTTTTCTGGCAAGGTCTGCAGGATGGGGAGTGGGCAAAGAGTAACTGGCAGTGTTCTGGGCAACCTTGGAGATTCTTCCAGCCATCTCTGAGCCAACTCTGTAACAGGAGTGAGTTGAGCTTGAAAAGTAACCCTGACTTCCGTCCCCAGCACTACCTGCAAAGGTCTCGCTGACTTGGGGCACTCACAGAGCCTGTCACCATGGAAACCTGATACTCAGTCTTGGCCATCTCTGCCTATCATCTATACCCCAAGCCAAGGAGCTGGTTTAACCTGGTGACCAGGTGATGCTCAAAGGGACAAGAAATCACTGCATGTGTTAGAGCCCCTGGGGACAACTTTTAGAGGCCCCAGCCTCAACCAGGTGAGTTGGGCAGGTTTATTTGAACATCCCAGAAGGGTAAAATCATCACTCCAGGCTCTAGTCTCCTGGCAGCAAGTGGCTTGCTCCATCTACCAGCACTGGCTCTGAGGGAGCACATTAGCCCACAGTGCTGCCAACGACAAACAGCACGGCCCGTCCTCAGAGCCTGCCCACCTCCTCTGCTGTGTGTGTGTGTGTGTGGGGGGGGTCAGAGACCCTGCAACTTCCGACACACGCCCACTGTGCCATCCTCAGATGCACACACAAATTCACAGACATGTGCCCACAGTGTGTGCCACCACGCCCAGCCCTATGACTAGACACTCCTGCTGATCTGCCAGTCTGTTTCCCTGATCATCCAAGGACAAAGGCAGATGCCCCAAAATACCGAGTGTCTTCACTGCTGTGTCCCTTCCCCAGCAAGGGAAGTCCCTGGCACACAGGCATTAAAGAAAAGCACAGATATAAACTTGGATCTAGATATGCATGTGCCAAGGACAGATTCAGGGTTTGTTGAACCTGAGATTTGTACAGTGAGGGAGGGAGGCCTCTTTAGGAAAAAAAACAGGTTAAAATTATGAATACAAAATTAGAGATCTTGGAAGAGCCCCAGGTAAGTGAGAAGCTCTGGAGCTTAACAAGAGCTTCGGTCCCATGCAGGAGACGGAAACACAACCCCAAGAACACACACGGGAGTGCAGACACATGTGCCGGGGCCCCCCAACACGTGCACACATGCACAGGCACACACACACGCACGCGCTCTCCATGCCTCAGGCGCTCTCAGGGGCCAGGCTCCCTCTCCACACCGGACTTCAGAGAGGCCCCTGCTGCTTCCACACCTGCAGAGACCCCTCTGGGACCCACCACCCTGCCTGCACTTTGCTGCTTCAGAGCCAGCCCTGCTCCCGCCTGGGGCTCCTCACCCAGACCCCAGCCCCAGGACGGGAGCGGCACGACACAGAGCCGTCTCTGGAAACAGGGTCAACCTCTAGCCCTCAGAGTCAGCAACACCCCCCAGCACTCACATCCCCACCCCATCCTACGGCCTTCTCCTGAGAAGAGGAAACTGAGGCTCAGAGAGGGAGGGCATGAGCTTGAATTTGGGTCCTTTTGTGAGGGGTCAAGACATTGCATACCTGCAAGGCCCACACCCCCAGTGAAGCCGGAACTAACATCCGGCTTCTGGAAACCGTTGCTTGCTTGCTTGTTTGTGCCAACTTTGCATTGTTTGAACCCCT